ATCTCAAAAATTGCGGGCTGTAGGCTAACCACGAGAAAAGATGGAAGGCAAACGGACTAATGGACCAGTAAATTTTGAATTTTCATTCTAAATCGATCGGTATAAGAAAAGACGACTTTGTAAGTGTGATATACATCCGAACAATCCTAACATATCGTTGTGGGGTATAACAAAAACTTATAAAATGTCAAATCAATCCTTTTTTGCTAAAGGTGTTATAACTACATCAATACATAAATATATATATATATATATGTGTACATAATTCATTATATATTATTATATGGTTAATTTCATCCTTAATGACCAAATAAATATATGTATATATATACATATATACTTCTGTATATACAGACATACCTTTATATATATATATATATACATATATATATATACATAAAGTTATACATAGATATATACAAGTATATATATATTTTTTTTTTCTTTTTTTTAATTAATTTATAGTATAATGGAAAGAAACCATGGTTTTATTATAATTTTCTTCGTAGTAATGCCTATTATAATAAGGTCTATATATACCTGTATACACCAATATATATAACTATATATAATTATATATTTTTATTTATGTGTCCTATAAAGATGTACATAAACAATCAAAAAAGTAGGAAGGAAGGAATATGAACTTTTTTTTGTTGTTTTATTTGTATGCTTTAGATCGTTTGAAGTAAGGGTATACTAAAATTATGCGGACATATGCAATACTCAGATGACTTGGTATAGAATTCACTTTTTGTTGTAGCCATCGATTCCGAGTCATATTTTATACGGCTGTAGCTATGTCCGCCATTTTTTATGTCGACCACGTAGTTCGCTGTTTTCGAAATATCTTAATACAATTGGATACGCAAGTTTGTTTGTTCTTACGGTCATGGTTCGTGTAATAATGTAAATACTATTTTGAAAAAGACATTAAAAATGAAAAAAAAAAAAAATTGTCACTTTAAATGTTTCTCACAAGCAATTGTTGAAAAATAACATTTTCTGAAAGTGCAGCATAAGCATCATCAGGCCTCATCGGGCCTCATTTTGTGATATAAATATATAAATAAAAGTAAACCTGGCGTCGACAGATCGACTTTACGGATCTTTCTTACAAAATGTAATCCTTTATGACGCAAAAATGTTTAATTTTTAATATTTTATTGTGAAGTTGCATCGTCTTATGATAATCATATTACTTTGTCCATCCTCTGCCTAAGAAGAATTGTATTAGATGAGGTGCTGTAGGTTATTTGATAAACGCTATGCCCGATCACAAACTTTTAATTTGGTTTTCTTTTACAATATTATTTTGTCTCAAATGCATACTCACACAACAATTGCGAAATGATTTTGTTTTCTACGAGACACACATGTATGCATAAAAAGCAACAAAAAAAAAATAAAAAAAATAAAAGGAAAAAAACTTATGTTTGCCAACCGATAGAAAATATTTTTAGAACTATTTGTTTTTATTTAAATTTAATTAATCCGTTTTCTTTTCCTCTGTTTAGTTTCCACCTGTACCTTAAGATAAATCTTCGGTATATATGTTTATATCAAAGGAATCATTTGAAACTTCTGAAAATTTAATTTAATTTCGCTGAAATTATTTAAGTTTTGTTTTTGTTTTGCCCGAATCACTTGTAACAACAATCAAGATTTCGAAGAATTCGAACAGAGCTTGAATTTATAATAATAATCAAAGATGGAATTGAAAATCAAAAAAAAAAAAAAAAAAAAAGCACAGTTACAGTTATTGCTTTAAATTGACGACGTAATATATGCTTTGCGTAGTAATTAAGTGAACAACACCGTTCGAAATTGTTCAAGTCATTGTTTTTGGAGAACGACTCTTAAATTGATGAAACAAATAACAAGAAAACAAAAAAAAAAAAAAAAACAAAAGAAATTTAAAATTATATGCGGATTATAGGGGATCTTTTGAAGTTTATAACTTTTGTTTTTTATATCTACTAGTAACGGATGAAGGGTATATTAATTTTGTCAAAACGTTTGCAACGCGCCGAAGGAACGTCAGGGACCCCACACAACGTTTATATATATATTCGAAGAGCATCAAATTTTAAAATTCGTTTGTCTGTCCGTCTATCTAACGCCTGTTGTAAACGTTCTCATGGCCGCAAAAATGAATCGACTTCGACTTCAAATTTGGCAGAAACATTGGAAGTTCTTGCAAGCAGGTTGGTATTGAAAGGGAGTTAAATCGGTTGAAGGGCACGCCCACATCGCCACGTAAACTCAGAACACCTCCGTTTTTTAAAAGGAATGAAAAATTAGTCTTTCGTTCATCACTCATAAAGTGTGGCAGATAAATGTACAAAAAGTTGACTGCCTCTTCTACGGGCGATAGAGTAGGACGTTTACAAAAATGGAAAAAATATGCCACGTGTACTTAATATTGTTGTGCATTAAAATTCAATTTTTTTTCAATACTTTTGCAAAGGGCAGAAGCAGGCTTCAGACACCCCATAAAGTATATAAATTTGAAATTTGGAAAGCGCCAAAATATGGTCGTCTGTTCGTCTGTCTGTCAGTGTAACTGTGTTGTGTTTGTGGTAAACATTCGCTTGTTAGCAAAAATGAAGATGTCGCCTACAAGCTCGCAAAAGAATTGTGGAGGGAACTAATTTTTTCATAGGACATGCCCACAATAATCACATGCCTGCGCGGCAAAAACTTTTCTTTTGAAAATCGAAAAAATCAACCGCGTCCACTCCATATTACGGAGCGTGGAAATACAGTTCTTATCCTGTTTTTGTCTTTTTGGGGATAACGGTGATGGGTACAAAAGATTCGGCCACGACCAGATATAATTTTCTTTCTCTTTCCTTTTGACGAACAGCTCACGAGACTAAAGCAAATAATTTTGTCATTCGACAAGAAATCTCAGGGCGGAAGCTTAAATTCATTAGGAAGTTAATGTTGGTTTAGGGGCTTTTCAGTGATATGTTATTTTCGTGGTTGTTACAAACCCAAGGACAAATCTAATGTATTTTATTATTCACATAAGAAAAAGATTAAAGAAACATTTGTGTGTGATATTGAATACGAATGATTATAATAAAGCAGAGAACAACGGAAGTAAACCACATTTCACTTAGAGATTAAAAAATGATGTTTTCATGATTTTGATAATCATAGCTGCAGATAGTTTCGAACGTCCACTATGAGTGCGAAGACACACAATATCTTTAAACAGGTCAACTGCGTCAATTCTCAGTTTTTATCTTTATTTTATGTCATTAGAAATCTTAACACCAGATAGAGCGATCGAACCAAGTTAAGAAATGGAATCGGTTGAGAGTTTTGATATAATCAAGAACATATACTGTGTATTTGTATGCTTTACACGGTTGTCTGCCCGCACCCGCGAGAGAGTGCTACTGTGTTCAAAAAGTACGACCAATTGAATCTTATCTCTTTTAAAACTATTTATTATTGCAGATCAACTTCGTCACCTTCAAAGTGTTCCCGTCAGATACTATGCATTTATGCCAACGTGTTTTCCAATCCTTGAACCAATTTGTTTGTTTTTGTTTAGTTTTTATGTTTTTGTTTTTTGAGTTTTGGCTTATTTTGATCGAATAGCAATAATCCCTATATATGTTTGGTGAAAAATTAAAGAAAATCTTTTTTAAAGAACAATCTGGCCGTGGCTTGAATGATTTCAATGTTTTAATAACATTTTTTAATAAGCTTTGTGCTTAACGCAGTCTTCTTATCCTCTTGATCATCTACTTTTCTAATCTCATATTTAAATAAGTAAGAAAATTATATTCTATCGTGATCGAATCGTTTGTACTTATCACAACTACATTTTTATGCTCTACAATAAAAGGAGATCGCGGCTGATTTTTTATATTTTCAAAATAAAAGTTTTTGTAGGCGTTTTAGGCGTGTCCTTCAAAAAGTTTAAGTTACTTATCAATTTGTAGGCGATTTTCGCCAACGAGGAGAACGTTCACCACAAATACTATACAGTTGCGCAGACAGACAGATGTGTTGACGAACAGACGGAAATTTGAAATTAATCAAGAATTTATATGTTTTACGGGGCTTTTGAATCTTATTTCTGGGCGTTGTAAGAGTTTTGGAAAGAAATCAAATTTTCATGCGGTACAATAATGGTTTTCAATTTTGAATAAGTGCTACAGCATCGCCCCAAGAATATGAATTAAAATTTTTGTATATATATCTGCTATGCTTTATGAGCAATGAGCAAATTTTTTATTTCTTTTGACAACCAGAGGTGCTTTCAAGTTACGCAGTGCTTCGGGTGTGTCCTTCGACCGATTTGGACTATTTGCAATACCAGGCTGAGTGCAAGAACTTTCAATGTTTTTGTCAAACTTAAAGTCGATAGCTTCATATTTGCGGCCAGGAGAACGTTTACAACAGACATTACATAGACGGACAGACGAATATTCCTAAATCGATTTAAAACTTGATCCTGATTAAGAGTATAGAATACTTTGTGGATTCTCCGATGCTTCCTTCTGGTTGTTACAAACGTTTCGACAAAATTAATATACCCCTTATCCTTCATTGATGGGTACAAAAAAAAGCTTTCTTCTTAAGGAAAATACAAACCTAATTCATCTTAGGCATTGTAGGAACGCCTTTTAAATGTATTTCATCTAAACTATCTTCTCTGTCTATTTACCTCTTCGCTGACATGTAATATCGTTATTGTGTAAGTAGAAACTGCTACTGAGTACTGGGCGTTCGAATTTTGATGTAAGAAGAAACCATCATCCTTTATGTGATAGGATATTTAAAGTGCGACTTACATCGTTGAGAAGTGTCTTTACTGTGCCTAATTGATTCTTGCGTTACATTATGTAACGAAGACTACATTAACAAGATTGCGCAGATCATCTTGTATTGACTTTTGATTGTCAAGATAACCATCTCATTCCGCAAGTGCATCAATTGAATATGAAAACATCTATGCTTTTTAAAAAAAGTATTTTATTTTTTTTTAATCAAAAATTAAGTAACAATATATTAAAAATTTAAAAAAAAACATAAGTACAACGGTTCGCTTAGAAACTAAATTCCTAAATACATTTACATTAAAAAAAAAAAAAAAAAAATCAGGTCTCATTCACTCACATAATCACGCTTAGAAAAACATGAATCTTTCCATTCGCACAAACATAATAACAATAAACTTATTTTTATAATTTAACGCAATTTCAGCTCCATGGAAGTAAGCGATTTTTTGCGTTCATTTACTTCGAAACGTTGCATTATTTTTGCCACAATATGAGAGGGAGGTATATCTGGATTGCCGGTAAGTCCACGATAGCCGAGAACACTATGATCGCCTATACTATTCGCAAGTTGTAATCGCTTGATAAACGCATTTGTATCTATGCCTTTCACTTGTGATGGTTTCAGAAATCGTTTTGGTATGCGTGATAATATATCTTCGGAGCCTAATGGTCCAAAGCCCAAGTTAATTAAAATCGCTTCCGGATCCGGTTTACGGGCCTCTAATAAACTATCAACACTGGAATAACGACTCGAATCGGATTGTACAGAAGCGTCACGCTTCAAAACTCCCGGCATATGAGTTCTCCGCAAGGGTAAATTATTTTCTTGTATAGAATCGAAGGAACCGTCTGATTTTAAGCGGCGATCATGTGTTGAACTTGAAGTGCAATTTGATGTTAAAGAGGAAGTTGAACCGGTCTTTTCTGGTGGCGACATAACGGCCGAACTGGATGATTTATTGCTGACCAGTAGACTGCTATCGCTTTGTTGTTTACTACGAAAGCGTACTTGTTTCTTTTTGTGAGCGCTTAAGTGCGCAGTAAATGGTAGTACAGCTTGATCTCTTGTCGCCGAACAAAATGTTTTATCCGCTAAATCATCATCGCCGTCTTCCTCCAAATCGGCAGCATATTCAGCTTCATCTCCGCTATAAACATTAGTTGACTTTTGACGCTGTAAACGTTTTCTTCGTACATTGGTAGTAGACGCGGCAGTAGTTATTTGGGGCGTATTAGACTTAACACTATCTGTACTATCGCCATGTTGAAGTTGCTGTAAAAATTGTTTTATTTTCAATTCTTGTTTGTTATCCGGTAGTTTCCTTAAATTTCCACTTGAAGCACTGCTATAGGCAGATAAGGCACAGACTAGGGGATTAGCGTGCTTGGAGTAATTAAAATTGAAACAGCTTTGTGAGCGTTCCATTGTAGAGGTATATGTTGTCCTTTTTCACTTATAGGGATTTTCAGAATACTAAAATAAAATTTTTAAAAAAATTTTTATGAAATGAAGAAGAATTTTTTTTTTTTAAATTTTCATTTTGCACAGCGACATCATGGAAGTGATTCAACCCAACATTTTTTAGTTATACGAAAATTGTATAAGAATTTTCACATCGAATGATTGCAGTTAAATTTAAAGTTTGCTTTAATACTTTTTTAATTAACATTTGCGAATTTTTTTTTTCGATTTTAATTTTACAGAAACATCTTTGTTTTCTATATTTGCTATTTTAAGTGTATTAAGTGACAAAAACTTTTTGTATATTTTTCACGGTTACTTAAATTACTTAAACGAAATTGTGCCCTATTTGAGAAGAGGGTATGTTAAGTTTTTCATCAAATTTAAAAAGGAAGTGCAAGACTAAGATGCTTTTCTCTTCAATTCAATAAAATTTGAAAACAATTAATTACTACTTGATTTATGGATCAAGCAGCAATTATTATTTGATTTATAGATCAAGCAGTCATTCAAGTAATCAGGTCCAGTTTCATTTACTAGACCCTAATCAGCACTGATTCTCTTTAATCTTATCATAAAAGAGCCACACGTATGTCAAGCTTAAGGGAAGAGATCTTTTGAGTTTAATGGCACTTCAAAGAAACGTTAAGGCAAAACATGAATGATTCAAATAATCAACTATCATTTGGTTAGGATATTTCATGTTCAGTGGAAGACCTAAATTTTATGATAAAAACTGAAAGTAATGAAATTTATTCAATTTTCAGAATAATCGTTTTAAAAGTGCTACCATTTTTTTCCCTCTATATCTTTAGAAGATTAAAATTTTTATCAATACTATAAAGCTAATGAAAAAAGTCAACAGAGTCTTTGAAAAAGGTCAACAGAGTTTTTGAAAAAAGTCAACAGAGTTTTTGAAAAATGTCAACGGGGCTTACAGTAAATTATGAAGCGAATATGAAGGTTTTTTGCAAATTTTATACGATATCAAATGAAGAATTTCCCTCTTAAGTAAAATTATTTTTACCATTAAATTTGTATTCTTGCATTGAACGTATTTAAGAAAGTAACGCTCAAAACGGCTATTAAATCTACCATAAGGAATTCCTTTATAAAGTTGAATAAAATGAATTTAGATGAGATAGAAAATAGAAAAACAGATCTGCAAAGAAGATTTATAAAAAAATATTCATTCAAAGGCATTTTATGTTATCATCGTAGAAATTCTTCCCTTTCCAGAAACACTAATAAAACTACCTTAAGGAATTTCTTTGTTTCGTTACTGTATACACACAAGAGCTAATTATGCGAACGGCTGCCGCGTAACTTAAGGTTTTCAACTTAAGTAGCATTATAAAGTACTTAAAGGAAAAGTACTCTAAAAGCTAATCCTTGCTTTTTTACAGTGGGACTATAGGTTTGTTGCAATGTTCGACATTATAAGATGACTTTTGTGTGTAATAAAAAGACTACTGAAATTGTATGGTAACTTATTTATTTGTCGTTGTTAACTTAGAAGGAATTTTAATTAACTTTTTATTGCTAACACTAAGCAACATTTAAATTTATTTGTTAATATCATGTAATGCAATACGACAATAAAACGACTTTCAACAACAAAAGAAAACAATTAAAAAGGTTTTTTTTTCAACTTTAATGCAAATCTTGGATACCCTACCCTAAATGTTAGGTTGACAAAGAAATACTGAAGATTTGCTATTCAGCAATCAATTCATTAATAAGAGATTTATTAACTCTACCACTGCGAATTTGAGCGATTGCACCTCTGCATATAGAATAAGGTTGTAATGCTTTTAGCACTTTCGATGAAAACTCGAAACGATATAAATATAGTCTTGTTGTCTTGTTAATGTGATCAATCGGAAGAATGTCACCTACACGAGCAAAACGTTGACGGCCAAAAAGAAGTGAGGAAAGGATAGGGAGTGCCGGCAGCTTAATGGGAGTGTGGCCGTTAATCGGTGGGTGTTATGTTTTTAGCAACTCATGACTTACTATAGCTACGAGACTACGTAAACCCTATTGTGCTAAGGTTTGAACCAGCGAACAGTGACTTGGTAGCTGTGCATCTTAATTGTTTAGGCAATCACACAGACAGGACATGACGATATTTTTGTTTTCTCCTTCACTTTGTTTCGGTTTTGGTTGATAGGCTATTGAGAGTCTTTCAAACTTGGCCCGCTTGCTTAAATTAGGCATACATAAGTAAAGTATCAGAGTCTTATACTAAATTTTATGACAATTGATGGGCATATACAATGGCATGCTGCATTAATCTGCGATTGGTAATAATTCATTACTCAAATATGTGAGAAAATTTTCAGTTTATTCCCAAAAAAACTTTTTAGGTAAGCTTGCCTTTTCGATCGTATCACACTTGTTTTCAAACTTGCCCTGCTTAATTGAAACAAGAACAGTAGCAATACAATTGGGAGAAGGCCAACAGCAGCAACAAACAGACAAAATGGTATATGGAATGACAGAATACAATCCTGTATTCTCTTTTCTTTATGTCACTATATATGGCCAATGTGTATAACTACAAGGTCTGCAATTATCGAAAGGTTATAATACTCAAACGATGGGCTACTGATGTGATCAGTTTGCTCGCTGGTAGCTGTAGTAATCATTTCCTGTCAGCAACAAGAGGAATTTTTGTGTTTAGGTATTTGGTCGATCAACTTTCTTTTAAACGTATTTAAGGTATCATTAAACGATTTCAAAGTCTTCTAACACTGAGCTGTGAGGACAATAAGAAATCATTCCTTCAAGAAGTTAGAAATAGGTGTTGTTAATATAAAAGGATAAAAGTATTCCTAGCACTCTATTAAAAAGCCGAACGATTGGGACCAAATGATTTTGTAGAGACAGATTGCCAAAGTAATCATTAGGTAGTCGAGGAAGGAGAATTTTAAAAAAGCATATGAACAAAGGAAGATATGTGATCGCTGAGTTTAACATTACAGAGCATTTGATTAAGAGGTTATAGATGAGATGTGTACCATTATCCCCAAGTTGTGTCAATTTATTCGTTGCTAAGATTATTGTTAAAAGTACATTTTTCAACTTGGAGTGTACAACAAAACCAGGAAAGTATGCATTTCGTTTATCCGATTTTGAGAAGGCAGGCAATAAACGGACAGATGGACATTTAAATTCTATAGAATGTTACTCAGTTTGAAACTATTTGTATTCACTATAGCTTTTTTTTCGCACATTTGAAAATGATATGACAAACTTAATATACCGTTACCTTTGATGTATAGAAACAATGTACAAGTTCAAGTTTAGTTAATTTTATGTATCTTTTAGTATACAAGTGTATTACATATATTACATATATGCATGTATATGTGATTGTAAGTAAATATATGAGAGCTTTGTTTTTCTTACTATAGGGGAATTTTTTTATATTCTTTTTTTTTTTTTTTTTTCTTTTCAAAATTAAATAAAACGTTTTCCTTTAGTATTATAATTGATTTACATTTTATATATAGAAAAGTCACTTTTTCAATTACATTCGGATTTAATTTTTAAGTTTTTTTTTTTTTTTAATTCGTTATTGAACTCGAAGTAAACTCTCTTATACTCGCCTGTTTCCTTCTTAGCCCATCGTGCAAAGCAAAAGAAAGAATAATAAGAAATAATATCCGACGATGGTGTGAATGTAACGGCATTACACGCTTCGAGCTTATATATGCAAATTGTAAAGTCTTGTCTGAATTAAGAGCATAACAATTGAAACTTTTCACTCTTTCTTACGTATATATAAAGTATATAGATTTATATATACATATATCTTGCAAATGTGATTGAAAGATCATACTATTTATGCCCTACACTACTTGTGGTAAAGGGATGAACTATCGAATATTTCATTTAGATTCTCAAAAAAATGATTATAAAGCATGTAACGCTCCAAAATCTTTTGGTGACTTTTATTGAGATGAAAACATCTTCAATCGTTTTTTTTTTGCTACGAAGTCTAGTTTTCAAGATAACGACGACATATACGCATTTCTACCAAAAGAGATCATTTTGATCTCATTGCCATAGTTGCAGAAAAGAAGACAGGAACGTGATCGATTAAGCATGAGTTCCGTCACATAGAAGAAATTGGAGCAACCTCGGAAAGAGGCAATCATCGTTTTCAAGACTTTTCCTTTAACTTTCCTTTCCGTGAAGATATTTCGGAAATCTTGATATTCATCAAAATCACCTCCACCATCCTCAGTCAGGGAGTAGCCCCAATGCTCTTATTAATGTGGCTACAATTTGGGATGAAATTTTAGTTCCCATTTATCTTTAATTAATCTCCCGATTAGTCTTCAGCCAATTAGGCTATGGCAAAATGATCCCTTTTGATAGAAATAGGTATACCTCTAGTTGCCAGTAGTTTTAATGGTAAATCTGTGCGAGTGTATGCAACACACAAAAGGGCTTTAGATAAACCCATTATTTATTATACCCTACCCTACTGCACTTCTGAATCTCACCATCAGAATCACTTTTTGAATCAATCTAAGCATGTCTGTCCATCTAATTTCCTTTTGTTCAATCTGTAGGATGAAATTTTAGAGATGTTTCTATGATATTTGGAACACTAACATGTTTTGGACCAAAGACAAACGTCAATGGGAATGGTCCAGATCGGACCACTTTTTCGAACACTTCCTGTATAATGCCTCATTTTGAAAAGCCGTTATATGAATAATTGTAGAGCGGTGTAGGGTGTTTATTGGAGGGAAGAGGGTTGGATGGCTTGACTCGCTATAGCCGTTTTAGTTGTTCTCCATGTGAATGTGGTCCACATTAGTAAAGATTGTTATCTCAATTTCCAACGAAGGAGTTTACAAAAGTAAATTGTAGACGGAGGGACAGACATAATTACATGTCCACTATAGCGTAAATGTGCCTTATTTCTGATTGTCACCATCGCAATGATTAATCTCGTATACCATGTTATCCTTCCTTCGGGGTGGTGATATAAA